CACCAGCTAAACATACTGGAACAGCTCAATTTACAGGACTGCTTTGACTCAAACCTACAGAAAGAAGGCACAAATTCAGCCCTATCTGAATCCTAAATGTTGCAAAAATATAGTTTATTGTCAACAAAAACAACAAACTTTGAAAAATTAAATTGTTAGAAATGGATTTAAACTCATTGAAAAACATAATGGAGTCCCTCTAATGTAGACACTGGTTGATCTCAGGTTGTTGTGATCCAAATAATAACTGAGTGACAGCAGGGAAGGAAAGAGCCATCTATTTTTTATACCCTCCAGTATGTTCTCACTCACTGCTCCATATAAGCTGTTTATTTAAAAATTCTAAACACACATATTGCTGTATGTAAATATAGATGTAATACTCTTTTTTTTTTTTTTTCTTTTTTACAATATGATGAATATATATGTCTGTCAACAACTGCCTGGTTGTGTAATACTTCTGTTTCTCTTTTATACCTGTTGAGTAACTGCAAGCAAACATAACCTGCTGTATTCAGACTTTAAAGAGGCTTTATTCTCTGTCATATATTTTATAATACAGCATTAGACATTCATGTTAAACGTGGCCAAAGTTTTAAATACTGAGGTATGCAAATGTAATCCCTGTAAAGAAAAGTACTTTTACAAGCTCCAAGTGCCGCCCCTCAACTGGCTTCTGAAAGCTGGCTAATCATAAGATAAGTTTTAAGAGAGGGTTGGGGCCTTAAAGTGACTACCTGTTTCTCAGAGGATTAAAAATATAATAATAGTAAAAATACTCGATATCACATTAAGCTACTTTACTAGCCTGAGAAGAAAGCTCTGGAGTTGGAAATGAGCACACTGATCTCCTCTTTAATGTAATAATGCTTGTAAACCATTTAAACTTTAAACATAAAAGACTGAAGTATGAATACAATGCAGAAACCTCATGTTTTCTTAATAAAACCATCATTATAAATATTGTGAAAGAATTTGACTTTTGTGATTGTATACATTTCTAGAAAAAGCAGAGATTTTTTTCTCTTTTTAAATCTTTCAAACTTAACTGAAAAGCTGGCCAAACTTCTTTTTTCTGTTCAACTCAGATGCTGGAGGATTTTCATTTTAAATTACCTCTACTCATGCAACATATTTTATTTTATAGCATTATGATTTGGCATTTTACATTTACATTACATTTAAAATACTATGGCTAAATTCATTATTATGAAAGCTGGTCTGCACTTTTTCCTTTTTAAAGATTTTCTCTGATACATTCGACCTGCTGGATTGTTTTATGTAGACTTTAATATGTTTGTCATATCGTGATGGATTCATGGAAGTGATTTGGATTTAAATAACCAGGCCCTAAGAAAATGTGTAATTGAGTTTTAGAATTTGCTGTCCTGTTGTTGTAAACTTGATCATAAAGTGCTGAATAAAAATATCTGCCTCACTGTTTGTGGCCTTTTTTCTTTGGGTGAAAGGTTACAGTACGCTCATAAATATTATGCACACATTTTCAAATGCTGCTTAAATCATTCTCCATGTTTAACATTTTTAAGATGATGATATTTCAAATATATAGATATTTGAAATTTAAAATAAAAAAACTTCATTAGCATTTCGGAATTCCTCCGAAGGGTGGCTGGCCTCTCGCTTAGAGACAGGGTGACAAGTTCGGGAGGGGCTCCGAGTAGAGCCGCTGCTCCTCCACATCGAAAGGAGCCTGTTGAGGTGGTTCGGGCTTCTGAGAAGGATGCCCCCTGGGCGCCTCCTGGGTGAGGTTTTCCGGGCATGTCCCACCGGGAGGAGGCCCCAGGGCAGACCCAGGACACACTGGAGAGATTATATCTCTCGGCTGGCCTGGAAACACCTTGGTGTTCCCCAATATAGGCTGGAGGAGGTGGCTGGGGAGAGGGAGGTCTGGGCTTCTCTGCTTGGGCTGCTGCCCTCGCGACCCGG